AACTGTGTTTTAGTCATACAGTGGAATACTATGAAGAAGTTAAAATGAACAAACTAGATATACACATTTCAACATGAAAAAACTTAAAATAATAATGCTTAATAGAAAAGCATGTTGCAAGATAATACACGGTAAATTATCATTAAGGTACATTAATGAGAAATGAACATGGCAAAATGTTAGCATTTGCTAAATCTAGGTGGTGGGTAGAAGAATGTCTACTATGTTATATTCTTTACCTTTTTATCTGAAATATTTTGTAATAAAAAAATCTTTGTAATGAAAATTGATATCTGCTTATAAATAATTATTATCTTACTATCTTATAAGGCCATATTGTCTGGCTTCAAGCTGCTTCTCTGAACTGCAGGGCACTTTAGCCATGGTCTGTTGTCCCCAGCTTATACTCAGACACAGTCTCTCTTGTACTTAGATGCCAAATTTGGATAAGGAGTCTATAATTTGTAAGTATTCACTGGAGAGTGTTTGCAGTGAATTCAGGTAGCTTGGCTATTTCCTAGGCAGAGCTAAGGAGGCCATCTTCCTGGATGAGACTGTTTGCATTTTCATATGGTGAGCCATTCTGTTTTTTCTGTGTTAAGCATTAAGGCAGGAAATACTTGCCTTAAAAGATCAGGAGTGTTGGAACAAGAGAGAGGAAAAGATCATGCACAGACCTCAGTGGCAACTGGAGTCGTGTAGAATCCTACAGTGTTTGGACATCACTATTTCCTAAAGAAACAGATACCATGATTTGTAAGATTTTCTTTAAAGGATCTGCTACTCTAATCCTGTAATGGCACAGTCACTTGTTTCAGTTTGCTCTCCAGTCCTAATTTGTTTTCAGTCACTTTTTCCCCAATCATTATTATTATTATTATTTTATTATTGTTATTAGACTATTTTAAGAGTAGTTTTAGGCTTACAGGAAAATATAGAGAGTACCCATATACGTCCTCTCCCTTGCATACAGTTTTCCTATTATTAACATCTTGCATTAATGTGGTATATCTGTTATAATTGGAAGCCAATATTGATATATTATTTTTATCTGACATCCATAGTTTACATTAAGGTTTATTCTTTGTGTTGTACAGTTCTGTGGATTTTCACAAATGTATAATGCCATGTATTACAGTATCATACAGAATAGTTTCACCACCTGACCATTTCATTTCTATCTCCACTCCAGTTCCTAGCATAGGGCTTGTAAATGTAACATGAATGTGCAGTGTTATCTCATCTAAAATTAAATGTGACCAATCAAATTCAGTAGAGTTTGAAAAACATTTAAAGAACAATCTTCCACAACCAACTAGAGCCTATCTTAGGAATAAAAAGATGGCTTAAAATTGGAAAATTTGGGACTTCCCTGGTGGCACAGTGGTTAAGAATCTTCCTACCAATGTAGGGGACACAGGTTCGATCCCTGGTCCAGGAAGATCCCACATGGCACGGAGCAACTAAGCCCATGCACCACAACTACTGAGCCTGCACTCTAGAGCCCATGAGCCACAACTACTGAGCCCCCGTGCCACAACTACTGAAACCCACACACCTAGAGCCCGAGCTCCAAAACAAGAGAAGCCACCGCAATGAGAAGCCCGCGCACTGCAACGAAGAGTAGCCCCTGCTCGTCTCAACTAGAGAAAGCCTGCGCACAGCAACGAATACCCAACGCAGCCAAAAATAAATAAATAAATTTATTTATTTTAAAAAATTGGAAAATGTGTTATATCTCATTAATCTGTCAAATAAGAAAAATAATAAAACTCAATATATAGAGACAATCAGAATTCAAAGCATATCCCTGATTTTCAAAAACCTATGAAAATCAGAGTGCTTTATTAACATAGAAAGAATATTTCAGTCTAACAATCAGCATTATGTTCAAAGATGAAACACTAGAGGTGTTTTCTAATGGGAACAAAACAAGCATGGCAACTCTAATATTATTTTATATAATTCTGGCAGTTCTAGCTAATATAGTAAGATGAGAGACAAATAAGAGTTACCATTTTAAGAAAGAGGCTCTCATTATTATTGAGATAGTAGAACCTCCTGCCCCCCCAAGTCCCTGAAACTTTGTTAAAATCAATGAGCTCAATAGGATAACTGAGGGACTTCCCTGGTAGTCCAATGGTTAAGACTCCTCACTTCCACTGCAGGGGATCCAGGTTCGATCCCTGGTTGGGGAACTGAGATCCCTTGAGCTGCGTGGCACAGCCAAAAAAAAAAAAAAGTAATCAAAAGCTTTTACCAACATGTAGAATCAACATGAATGCAGACTTCTACAAATGTGGACTGTCAGGGGCTTCCCTGGTGGCGCAGTGGTTGAGAGTCCGCCTGCCGATGCAGGGGACGCGGGTTTGTGCCCCGGTCTGGGAAGATCCCACATGCCGCGGAGCGGCTGGGCCCGTGAGCCATGGCCGCTGAGCCTGCGCGTCCAGAGCCTGTGCTCCGCAACGGGAGAGGCCACAACAGTAAGAGGCCCGCGTACCGCAAAAAAAAAAAAAAAAAAAAATGTGGACTGTCAGATATATTAGCATTTCTGAATACCACAGTGATGTGGATTTCAGAAGTGAATACTTCTTGGTAAAGACCTGAAGTAAAGTATGATCTTCCTGTGGTTGACATGGAAGTTCCCTTCCTAGAAAATTCAGCATGTGTTAAAATCATGTTAAAAACTATTCTGTGTTTATATGTAAAACTGACATAGGGGCTAGGCTGAGATAATAAACATTCACAGGTCTCATGGCAGATCTTCACTGTGCAGAAACTACTCACTAAAATGTTGCAGGATGCCCAACATGCCTGGCCTCTGCAAGTGGCACTTACTGAGCACAACAATACCAAGACCCCAGAGGGTGGCCCTGTCGCTATTGGGAGTTTTTCATGGCCTTGTCTGTTAGATGGAAAAGCATAGATGGCTGGCTGGCCTCATTCAAGGAGTTCAAATCCATTGGAGAGGCTTACCACTGGGAGGGATGTTTCTAGTGCCTTCCCCACTTCTCTACAGAGAAAGACGAAGGCTGTTGGACATTAGTCTTTTTCTTTCAGTTTTATTGAGCTATAACTGACATATAACATTGTGTAAGTTTAAGGTGTACAACATAATGATTTAATATATGTATATATTGTGAAATGATTACCATAATAAGCTTAGTTAACATCTATCACCTCACATAGTTACTTCTTTTTTTTTTTTTTTTGTCTTGTGATGAGAACTTTTAAGGTCTGTTCTCTTAGGAGCTTTCAAATGTACAATACAGTGTTAACTGTAGTCACCATGTTGTACATTACATCCCCAGAACTTATTTATCTTAACTAGAAGTTTGTACCTATTAACCACCTTCATCCATTTCCCTTACCCTGCTTATTGGTCATCAAAATGACTACAGTTGACCCTTGAACAGCACCGGTTTGAACTATGCAGATCCACTCACATGTGGATTTTTTTCCACTAAATACATACGACAGTACCACACAATTTGAGGTTGGTTGAATTCACTTATGTGGAAACAATACAGAGGGCAGACTGTAAAGATAAACGTGGATTTTCAACACCTGTGTGGAGGGTCAGTGCCCTTAAACCCTGTGTTGTTCAAGGGTCAGATGTGCTTGTTTTAATTTATTTATTTTTGGCTGCATTGGGTCTTCATTGCTGCCCGCAGGCTCTCTCTAGTTGCGGTGAGCAGGGTCTACTCTTCATTGCAGCACGTGGGCTTCTTATTGCAGTGGCGTCTCTTGTTGCAGAGCACAGGCTGTAGGCATGCAGGCTTAGTTGTTCCACGACATGTGGGATCTTCCCAGACCAGGGATCGAACCCATGTCCCCTGCATTGGCAGGCAGATTCTTAACCACTGTGCTACCAGGGAAGTCCCGAGGGTCAGCTGTATTTGGATTAGATGTTCTTTTATATATTTTTGTTTGTTTGTTTATTTATTTAATTTTGGCTGTGTTGGGTCTTCATTGCTGCGTGCGGGCTTTCTCTAGTTGCAGTGAGTGGGGGCTACTCTTCCTTGCGGTGTGTGGACTTCTCATCTCGGTGGCTTCTCTTGTTGCAGAGCACAGGCTCTAGGTGCGCGGGCTTCAGTAGTTGTAGCACGTGGGCTCAGTAGTTGTGGCTCGCAGGCTCTAGAGCGCAGGCTCAGTAGTTGCGGCACACGGGCTTAGTTGCTCCACGGCATGTGGCATCTTCCCGGATCAGGGCTCAAACCCATGTCCCCTGCATTGGCAGGTGGACTCTTAACCACTGCACCACCAGGGAAGCTCCTAGATGTTCTTTTAAGGTGCTTTTCAACTCTAAGATTTTCTACTTCTCAATAACGACATTTTTGATTCTTCTAATTGTTTTCGTGTTAATAAGAAAACATAATTGCATTAACAAGTGTTAAATGACAATGATGCATAGCACCACTATGATTATTTTCTGTGACCCTTTTCATTCTAAACCTTCTGGCTAAGTAGTCCTCTTTTTTCTTTGAGCTCATCCACTTTTGACCCTCTCTTTCCTGTGGGGATCCCCCTGCAGAGCTGATAGGCCCTTGCCTCCACTGGGGCTTTAGAACAGCTGTCATCCAGAGAACCAAACTACACAGTCTGCAAAAGAAATCTGCTTTGTAATTTTTCAGTGACTAATTTCCCAGTATCCCATATAGTATACAAAAAGAGTGAGTATAGACCATGAGAATGTGTATGTGTTAAAGTTTTATTGTTATCCTGTTTGATTCTCATCTCTTTTTTTTTTTTAACATCTTTATTGGAGTATAATTGCTTTACAATGGTATGTTAGTTTCTGCTTTATAACAAAGTGAATCAGCTATACATATACATATATCCCCATATCTCTTACCTCTTGCGTCTCCCTCCCTCCCACCCTCCCTATCCCACCCCTCTAGGTGGTCACAAAGCACCAAGCTGATCTTATGAATCAACTCCTAAAAGTTTAGATTTGAATTTTAACTTGTCTAATACCAAGTTTTATTTTTTCATTTAAGGCTATTTCTGATGCTTGGAAGCCATCCTTTCAGCCGTAAGGATGGTAATAAATCTTTGCCTCCCACAGTTCAGACCAAGAATTTACTGCAACAAGGTAAACAAAACAAGTATATACACATAAATAAATATATGACATCTATTTTTCATGTTTTTCCCCATTTCCTGCCTTGTGTATGTAGACTTAATTCAGGCTTAATGTGCTTTCAGCCTCATTGTTTTAGAGTCTACCAGATGATATTTAGGTAAGCGTGGGTCAGACTGCACCTCTAGAGTCAGACAGCACCATTACAAGCTGAGTTGTGACTCATTTTGTGGAGGGTTCTCTTCCCTTTGACAGTAAATTTTAATTTCACTCAAGGTCAAAGTGAAGGTAGGAATTCTCTCTCTCCCATGCTGTTGTTCTTGCTAACTTCTCATGCTAGAAATAATGGCTTATATTTGTTATATGGATTCCTTGTTCTTTATTATTTGAATTAAGCTGCCTCCCCTTTTGTACAAAGCTGGATATCTTCCACAGCCCAGAGCAGGGAGTAAGGAAACTCCAAGGGGAGAATTGAACTTCTTCCCCAATTTGGAATTTCTGCACACAGCACATTATTTCAGGTTCCCAGATTGTTAAGCTGACTCCTTCAGACAAGGATATCTTAAAATTTCCATTGGTTATAACAAGTATTGGAAACATTAAAAGGGAGAAAGAAAAAAGCTACTCACAATCCCACCCCTAGTACATTCACTGTTTTAAATTTCCCATAGTCTTTTGTGGTCCTTGTCTCTGTGCAACCTTTTCTTTCCAAGTTTCATCATTCATAGATTTACAAGAAGTTCCTTTGTTATGCCTTCCTAGGGAAACTCTTATAATTGATCAAGTCCAAATACAAAATTGAGAATTTCAGTGAACATCTTTATTTTTCCCTAAATCTGTACATTTTCATCCTCTGAATTTAAAAGCAAAAAAAACCACCAAAAACCCAAAAACAATCCAAAAAACACTTGTAAATCTGCCCCCCTTTCACAGACATGTTATTTTGAAGGGATTTTTTGTTGGTTAGGCAGAGTTTTATTGCTCATTTTTTAAGGATGGGCAGTATTTGGGGACACAGTGGCCCTCAGCCTTTGACCTGATCTTGGATGCCTGCCAAAAAAAAAGAAAAGAAAACCCCAGGAAAATTTGATGTAATAGAGGAAATTTCAAATGAGGAACTTCAGATTTTCTTTAAAGAGTTTTCTTAGAAGTGACAAGTTGTTGAAAACGAGTTGTCTTCATTTGGATCTCGTCAAATCAATGTGTCTCATTTTTGTCATTAAATCTAGATATCAGCTGATGGTTATGAAGTAGAAAATCTCATCTCTGAAGACCTCACAAAGAGAAGTCATGGTTTTAGGACAGAGTATTTCATTAAGCCACCAGTCTATGTGACAGTTTCCTTTCCCTTCAATGTGGAAATCTGTAGGATTAACATAGACCTCACAGCTGGGGGAGGCCAGAATGTCACTGGCCTGGAAATGTATACATCTGCCTTGTCCAGCAGAGTGTCTTGGAATACCCCCGAGTGCCAGACCCCAGGCCCAGATGAGCCATCCATTCCGGAGAAAGAAGCGTTCACTTTGGTGGGCAAAGTCTTGTTGAAAAACCAGAGCCAAGTGGTGTTTAGCCACAGGGGCTTCAAAGCCAGGCCACCTTTTGGCCCGATGGAAGCCACACTTCCCTCCCCTGCTGTTGTGGCCCAGGAGCTCTGGAATAAAGGGGCTCTTTCTCTTAGTCATGTGGCCCATCTCAAGATTTGTATCACCCATGTGACAGGCAGTGGTATCCCTTGTATCAAGCGGTTGGAAGTATGGGGTCAGCCAGCCAAAACCTGCTCTCAGGAGGTGATAGACAGTGTTTTGCTGGTTGCCTCAGAGAGCCTCCCTCAGGACTTGTCTCTACAGGCCCCAGCCTTGCCCATGGAGAGTGACTGTGATCCTGGGGGCCAGTCTGAGGGCCAGCAGGCCCCCTCCAGCCTCCTGGAGCTGGCTGAGGTAATTCGGGATGTACCTGAAGAGTTCCTGGATCCCATCACCCTGGAGATCATGCCTTACCCCATGCTGCTGCCCTCAGGCAAGGTCATTGACCAGAGCACGCTGGAGAAGTGTAACCGTAGTGAAGCCACATGGGGCCGAGTGCCCAGTGACCCTTTCACAGGAGTAGCCTTTACTCCGCACTCCCAGCCCCTGCCTCACCCCTACTTGAAGGCCCGGATCGACCATTTCCTGCTCCAGCACTCCATCCCTGGCTGCCACCTGCTTGGGAGAGCACAGACTGCATTGGCAGTGACCCCTTCTTCCATTGCTCTGCCCTCTCAGAAAAGGAAGATGGAGCAGGGTGAACATGCCCCAGACAGTAGCCTTGGCTTAAATGCTTCCTGTTTTTCTACCACAAGCCTTCTGGTCTCACCCACTACCTCAGAACACACTGCTAAGAAAATGAAAGCTGCCAGTGAGCTCATGGATTGTTCAACAGGTAATCCCTCGTTTTATGTCCAAGCCCGTCGTCATCTCTACTCCTCCCGGGTGACACTTGGCACTTGCCCTTTGTTTTATGCTTTGCTGGCTTAAATTACACCAAAACTTACTGGCTTAAAGAACCACACATTTATTATCTTACAGCTTCTCTGGTCACGAATCTAGGCATTGCTTAGCTGGATTGTCTGCTTTAGGGTCTTCCAAGGCTGCTATCAAAGTGTTGGCAGGGCTGCGGCCATCTCAAGCCTTGACTGGGGAAGGATTCACTTCAAAGGTCACTCGTGATTGTTGCAGGATTCAGTTCCTTGCTGAATTGTTGCACTGGGGGCTTCACTTCCCTTTTGTCTGGTGGCTGGATTCTACCCTCAATTCCTTGCCATATGGGCCTCTCAGGGGCAGCACACAACATGGTAGCTGTGTACACCAGCATGTGCAAACAAGTGGAAGTCAGTCTTGTAGAACCTAATCACAGAGTGACATCCCATCACTTTTATTGTATTCTGTAAGAAGCAAGTTACTAAGTTCAGGTGGGGTTCATTGGGGGCCATTTCAGACACTCTCCCACACCATTGATTCCTATTTTATTCAATGTATTTACCCAAGATTGGTGGTTGGATTTTGTCTAATGCCTTTTCAATATCAGTAGAGATGATATTATGATTTTTCATCCTTAGATCTTTTAATACAGTAAAGTACATTAATAGGCTTCTTAATATTGAACCACTGTTATATTCCTGCAAGAAACTCCATTTGGTCATGCTGCTTTTAGTGTACTGCTTAATTCTGTTTGCTAGTGTTTTTATTTAGGATTTTTGTCTTCATTAATGAGATTGGACTGCAGTTGTGTGTGTGTGTGTGTGTGTGTGTGTGTGTGTACAAGTACACATCATCTGTCAGGTTTTGCTATCAATGATTTGCTCCATAAGAAGAATTAGGAAATTTTCCTTTTCTAAACTCTGGAACAATTTAGTAGTATTAGAATAATTTACTCTTCCTTCCTTCCTTCCTTCTTTATTTCCTTCCTCCCTCCCTCTTTCCTTCCCTCCCTTCCTCCCTCCCTCCCTCCCTTCCTTCCTTCCTTCCTTCCTTCCTTCCTTCCTTTCTTCCTTCCTTCCTTCCTTCCTATCTGTCTATCTATCTATTTATCTGTCTGTGCCGGGTCTTAGTTGCGGCATGCAGGATCTTTGTTGCTGAGTGCGAGATCTTCGTTGCGGCATGCGGGATCTTCTTTTTTTTTAGTTGCTGTGTGCGGGATCTTTTTTTCTTTTTAGTTGCGGCATGTGGGATCTAGTTCCCTGACCAGGGATCGGACCCGGGCCCCCTGCATTGGGAGCGTGGAGTCTTAACAACTGCACCACCAGGGAAGTCCCTCATTTACTCTTTACATGTTTGGTAGAATTCTCCTGTGATTGTCAGTGCTTGGTGCTTTTGGAGATAGCTCTTTGACAACTTTTTCTTTTTGCTTATGAAAACTAGTCTGTTTAGATTCTGTCATTCTTTTTTTTAACATCTTTATTGGAGTATAATTGCTTTACAATGTTGTTAGTTTCTGCTGTATAACAAAGTGAATCAGCTATGTGTATACGTATATCCCCATATCCCTTCCCTCTTGAGCCTCCCTCCCACCCTCCCTATCCCACCCCTCTAGGTCGTCAAAGAGCAGTGAGTTGATCTCCCTGTGCTATGCTGCAGCTTCCCACTAGCCATTCATTTTACATTTGGTAGTATATATATGTCAGTCCTACTCTCTCACTTCGTCCCAGCTTCCTCTTCCCTCCCGTGTCCTCAAGTCTGTTCTCTACGTCTGCATCTTTATTCCTGTCCTGCTACTAGGTTCATGAGTACCGTTTTTTTTAGATTCCATATATATGCGTTAGCATACGGAATTTGTTTTTCTCTTTCTGACTTACTTCACTCTGTATGACAGACTCTAGGTCCATCCACCTGTATCATTCTTTAAAGTTCCTCTCTTAGTCTAAAAGGCTTATGCAAACAGCACACTTAAAGGTTACGTATGTATCTTCTCTGGCTTTGAGTGCAAATTTTAGTTAACAAGACCCCCAGAAACTCCTGGAAGCATCTGAGGTGCAGTGGGGCAAGATGAGGAGAAAGGTACTTAGACCTTGATGTTTGTGGAGGTCTCCAGTGGTGTTGGCCTTGACAGATTTGTTGGTGACACAGGACCACGCTGACCAGTGCTCCTTCAAGGCCTCAAGGTGATATCCTATGTCCTACATACTGTAGACCAAACATTCCACTCCCCGCTTTGGGGTACTTTTATGGTGCTACTTTGGGGAAGCCCTGCTATCAGGCAGATCTCTACGTCCTTTCTTCAGCAGCGGTCCCCATCTCCTGTTACCTTCACCCTCAGCCCATATCCAGAGAAGGCCCTATAGATAGTGGAGTGGGCAGAGTGAGGTCTTCATTATTCCACTCGATAATAACTGCTTTGCTTTACCTAGGAAGCAAGAGGACATGAACACCAAGGGAGTGCAGGCCAGTGGCCCTGCAGAGTTGAGGGGGCCCTAGCAGGGAGGAGATGGGGAAAGAGCAGACTAAGGCTGTTGGGAAGGGAATGGGGGCAGGGAGCAGGGGTACAAAACTGGGTGTTTACTTGCCCCAGTCATTTCCTTGGCGGGCAGGGAGGCCTTCAGAAAGTAGGGTACAGTTCTACAGGTGAGCCAGGAGGTGGCCCACGCCTGCCCAGCAATTTGTACAGGAGGAGAAAAGCTAGCGCAGAGCCCAGGAATCCTGAAAGCAGTGTGGGATGGGTAAGAACTGCCAGGGGCCCCAGGGGTTTAACTCCTGGTATCCTGTCATCACAGTCTATTAGTAGACATTAGGGAGGACCTTCTTTATGTTTGTGTCTGCTTGAAGTTAGAAGTACCATTTGTGGTTCTCAGAGGACTTTGTGTTTTGGTCTTCGCTTTTGCCAAACCTCTGGATATTGTGGTCTGTGCGTCTCTCAACAGGTCCAGTATCCCATGAGCAAAAGCTGTCGCAAAGCTTGGAAATTGCCTTGACGTCAACCCTTGGCTCCATGCCCTCCTTCACAGCTCGGCTGACCAGGGGACAGCTCCAGCACCTCAGCACAAGAGGGAGCAATACTTCCTGGAGGCCAGGCTCCAGCTCGGGTAAGAGGGGCCCTGTCTGTCTCCTCAGAGCCCTTGAACAGGATGCCGGGCCATGCCTCTGGGGCTCTGTGAACCTCTATGCCCAAGCTCCTTAGCTCCAACACCTAGGCCTTTACTTTTCCAGGGTGAGTTCAAGGGCTGCCTATGAAGTTTAACTCTTCACAAGAAAGTCATTCTTTAGTCAATTCTTAGTAATTCTGTGGCGTTGGGGATTGGTGTTTTTTGGTAAGATCTAATGTTAATTACTCTGTCCTGAGGACTTTTGTTTGTTTCTCCCTTTTTGCTTATTTTTCTTATGTAGTCTGTCTCTCATCTGACATCTGGGGTACTTTATGTAAATGTGGAGGGTGGTTTCAAGTTGAGTATGTCATCTTCATCCCTTCCTATTAACATTTTCACCAGTATCTTAGAACAGTGATAGCTTACTGAGCTAAGTTTTGCCTAAAATGAACCTGGGACCACAATGGATGATAGAATCGGTTAGGATACAAAGTGAGAGAATCTGGAGCATTTTTTACAAGATGAAATCTGGTGGGGCTAATGATAAGGTATACACTTGCTTCCTCCTGCCTGTCCAAAGTTAGTCTGTTCTCTTATTGCCTGGATCCCAGGCTATCTTACCTTTTCTGCCCTTGTCCCCTCCTCCCTGTCTCTCTGATTATGTTTCCATCCTAATCACTCCCAGAACCTGTCTTGTCCAGGTGACCAGCAATTTCCATGACCCCAAATTCGATGGACACTTACCCTCTCAGCAGCGTCTATTGTGGCTAACCAGCCTCTCCTTTCTGAAACACCTGTCTTGGCCTTCCGGATGTTATGCTCTTTTTCTCCCCATTTTCAAGAGTCTCTCTTCAATTTCCTTTGCTGATTCTTCCTTCTCTTCCAGACTCTTGTCTTAGACCCTCTTCTCTATACTCTGTGTCACTCAAGTGAGAGCCCACTTGGCCTGTGACTGCCCATATTCACCTGTAGCTCCTTCCTCTCCTTGGAACTCAGACCCTGACCTCCCTTACAGCTTCTTGGTGCCTCTGTGTGGGAGACTCATGGATATCTTAAGTGAATTTCTAACTCAGAACTGCAGGCGCCTCCAAAGGTTTTTCCCCATAGCCCCCCATCATCCAGTCCCTGGTAAAGAGCAAGCATCTTCTACCCTGTGGTCAAGCCTATAACATGGAGGTCATCCTTGGTTTCCGTCAACATTCCTGACATTCTATTCATCATCAAGTTTTGTTTACACTGCTCCAAAATAGATCTCAGGGATGTCCTCTCTGCTCCATTACTCTTGCTGCTACCCTGGCCCCAGCTCCTGCACTGCTCCCCCAGATTCCTGTAGCAGCCTCTGCTGCTCCTCCACAGTCACCCTTGCCTTGCCCATCCTCCTCATAGGAGCCAGAGGGATCTTTTTTTTTTTTTTTTGCGGTACGCGGGCCTCTCACTGTTGTGACCTCTCCCGTTGCGGAGCACAGGCTCCGGACACGCGGGCTTAGCGGCCATGGCTCACGGGCCCAGCTGCTCTGCGGCATGTGGGATCCTCCCGGACCGGGGCACGAACCCGTGTCCCCTGCAGCGGCAGGCAGACTCTCAACCACTGCGCCACCAGGGAAGCCCAGAGAGGGATCTTTTTATGTAAGCCAGATCATGATACTCCACTTCTTAGAATCCTTCCAGGGTATCCCACTGAACTTGGAATAAAATATAAATTGCTGCCTGTGAGGTCCTGCATGTTCCAGCCTGCTCCACCCTCCTCTGCCACTCTCTCACACATCACACCTTTGTTTTTTCTGTTTCTTTAATGGACCAGCCACTCTTTGTACTTGCTGTCCCTTTCACTCATGCATGGCTGGCTCCCTTTCATTCTTATGGCTCTTCACCCAAAAGGTCATCCTTGCCCTCTCCAGATGGGTGTGGACTGGGGGAGAAAGAGCAGCCTCCCTAGGCCAGGGCCACGAGAGAAGGGCAGCAGGTATAGCTTGGGGAGGAGGGGTGGCAAGACCTGCCCGCTGTGGCCCTCATTCAGGAGACTCTGTGGGAAGCATGAAGGAGAGAGCCTGCAGCACAAGAAAGGGATTGATGGGTCAGGAGGGGAACTGCTGGGCTACAGGCTAAAGAGACTCAGGTGCCAGGCTCAGCAGGCAGGTCTGCTACAGACAGACCTCAACCCTGCCCCTCTGGTGACCTCCGTCCCCCCTTGACCTGCCCAACCTGGGTACCTCAGACCATTTTTTGCTTTTTCTTCTTGTCACATCTCACCTTTCTTGCAGTTTATCAAGGTTGTCAGGGTGAGCTTGTGCCTTGCTCTGACCTTGGCAGCCTATCCAGGGGAAAGTCCATCTTGCTGGGAGAGCAGCAGGAAGGGCCCAGTGCTGCCTAGCAGCCCTCAGAAGCCAGCTTTTCTTGAGCATTCATTGGAGCACCGAGATTTGATTATGGAGAGGAGGCTCCCCAGATTCTCAGGCTCTCTGGCATCCTCTCCTCCCAGATCAGTCAGAGGCGGCCTAGGGAGGGAGGAAGCCAGGCTGCTGAAGGGATGCAGGGTAGGGAAGCTTCTTGTCCTACTCCAGGCACATGCCCGCCTCCAGGATGGAGCCTGGACTGGGGGCAGCTTTTCCTAACCCTGGCCTATTTTCTTCCCTGATTCACCAGAGCAGCCTGGGAGCATCCTGGGCCCCGAATGCACATCCTGCAAAAGAGTGTTCTCTCCCTACTTCAAAAAGGAGCCCGTGTACCAGCTTCCCTGTGGCCATCTCCTGTGCCGGCCCTGCCTGGGTGAGAAGCAACGCTCCCTGCCCATGACATGCATAGCCTGCCAGCGGCCATTTGCCAGCCAGGACGTTCTGCGGGTTCACTTCTGAGTGACTAGCCTCAACCTGAGAAGACCCATCGCTGGGAGGAGCTGAGGAGGAGCGAGTGGGGGGTCAAAGCTCCTGGGGTCTGGCCAGGTCCCAGGCACAGGGGGGCCTCTGCTTTCTCGCGGGCTTTCCCTTTGTCTCCTCCCACAGCATAGCACATGGGCCTGCGGTGTGAGGGGTCAGGGAAGGGGCTCTCCACGCCTGCTCAAGTGGCAATAGGATAACAAAGCCATAGTTTGAGCTGGGAGGGATGGGGGAGATGTCCCTGCCCTCCTGTGCCTCCCTGCCAGCACCCCCCTGCCAGAGCCCAGGGCCTGCTAGAGCCAGCCCCACCCTCTGAGGCCCCCCAGGTCATCTGCACACACCCCTCAGCCTATAAGGTGGATGTGAATGTGGCTCGGGATCTCAGAGAGAGCCTCCACCTTCAGTGTCACCCAAAAGTGGAGCATGGCAAGGATCTGTGGAGTAAATGACTCAGCTCCTCTGACTGGCAAACCACTCCGAGCCTTAATAAAGCAATGGTTGACGTCCGCTGTGGGCTTCCTCTTGTCTGTGTCATCATACTCCTCTACCCTACCTGCACCCACACAAAGTGGGACTGTCACAGGGCAGCCGTGAGCAGTCACTGCAACCCTGTCAGATTGTAATTTGGGTCAATGGCCTGAAGGGACAAGAAGTTGCATTTGCAGGTGCATCTGATGCATGAGGGTTTGCAGGTGGGTGTGCACGCCAGTTGGGAGGGTTGAGCAGCCCCCTAGGCTGGTGACAGCTTGCTTAGCTGCGTGTTGGCAGAGCTACACTGCCTTCTGAGGGGAGAAGGTACCTTTTCTGCATGGGGCCTATTTCAGCAAAGATACTTGGGGATAGATTGCACTTTTTTTTCCCATTCAAAATTTTGGAGTCCCAGAGGGAAAATATGTATTCCTACAACTGTTTACTGTATGGAGTAGATCCTAGTCATGGAAGAATATCCGTGAAAAAATACACTCTGCTATTCCCTGTTTCCTCTGAGCATGTTTGGGAAGGAGGAGCGCAGTGATGCTTCTTATTTTATTCTTGAGATTTCATCACAGCCACTGGTGGACAGGCTGTGGGGGTCCCTCAAGCCACTCAGGGTACTGAGCCATCTGCTCTCCACTACTCCCACAGGCCTGCTGCCTCCGGGACCCTCCAGGGGAGGAGGACAGCGTTCTCTCTGGCCTCCACGCTTTGCTCACAGGGCAGAGAGAACTATAGTTGTTACACTAATGGGGGAAGGAGGGAGCTTATTAAAAATTCCATTCTTGGACTCCAGATCTAAGAATTTAGAGATCTGGGGTTGGGGTTAGAGAATGTGTTTTTAAGAGTTCCTAGAAGGTGTGTATGGCCACAAAGGTGGCTGTGGAGGCAATCCCACCCTCCCCTCTGCCTCCTGGTGACACTTCCCTTGACCCCTCACATGAGCCTCCAAGGTCTGCATTGGTGGGCTTTCCTCTTGGCTGGTGAGACTCCCGTGTGTCCTTTGGCTTTAAATGTCTGGGTCAGTCCGGATTATTGCCTTATCTTCCTTGTGTGCTTGTGTTCTAGGAAAAGCCCCACCATTGCAGCAAAAGCAGTGCTACAGAGGGGAGGGCAGTTCCTACCCTCAGCCTGTCATGGCCTCAAGATAACAGCCTAGTTCCCCAAGAGCAAGTTCACTGCTGGGAGGCCTTCCCTCTGGGGTTTGTCTCGTCTCTCCCAACCTGGGAGCCTGAGGAAGTCGCCAGCGTGGGGTCAGCATAAAGCACAGAGTGCCCAGATGAGGGCAGAGGTTCCTCCCCTCCTGCGGGGGGCCTGGTGATCTGCATTTTGAACAGGCTGCTGCTCCCCAGGTAGCTCTGGGAGGAAACCAGGCATGGGAGCCCCTGTGATGGACAGGTGGAGCCATAGCCACATCCTTGGAGATGCACCATTTTTATCTTAAAGGGTCCCCTAAAATGAAGTGGTCTTTTCACCACCCTTGCCAGAACACACAAAGCACTGCTGGGCTCCGTTTCTCTCCCCTAGAAAATGAGAATAACTTTTCTCTTGCTGCCAACTAGACTCAAAGGATTTCTCACCAGAGCCCAGGGCAGGCGCAAAGCAGCTAACCAATTAACTCAAGGAGCTGGACTCTATTGACTCTGAGAAGACTCAGGACTTCAAAGCCTTGTGACCCCACTGCCCCCTTGCTTGACCACAGGGTCTTTGGGGGTACATGTCCCCTTTCCTGTAGCATTTAACCCAAAGTCCATTTGGGGGCACGCAGCCCTGGGCCCTTTGAGAGCAGGAAGCTGGGCCCCAGTGGCTGGTCTCCAAATCTTCATCCCCAAGGTGCAGAGTGAGGCCTTGCCCCATAACCTGGCCGTCCCCTTGTGGGGCCAAGGCCCCAGGCCTTGGCTACTCCACCCTCACTCATGCTCCCTCTGCCTTCGCCCTCCAGCCCCAGGGGCAGGCAGAAAGGAGGGCCACTCAGAAGTAGTCCTGAAGGTAGAAGAAGTAGGGAAACCAAATCACCAAGAGGAGCAGCTGCTCTGTGCCCGGAGTACTCCATCTCCAGGCGGCTGCATCTGGGTCCTGGAGCTGAAAGGCTCCCCCATCCCCTCGTCAGCCCTGCTTCCTCCCATGGGTCTCCAGCCTGAGGCCGCTCAGTTGCTGGGTGCTTTTCCATTCCCCAAGAAATGGTCCTCTGCTGCCTGGGTTGCTGTAAGGAGGTCTGCAGACAAAGAGACCTGCCCCTGGAGGGACCCCCCCCGCCCCCCCGCCAGGCTGCCGGGCTGCCAGGCTGCTGCTCACCTGCGGTCTGCAGTATTGTGATGCTGGGCTGGCTGCCTGTGTGCTGGCCACTGGGGCAGGGACGGGGCTGCTGGTGTGCTGGGCCCTCCCGCGGAGCTGCCCTCTCCCCTCTCCAGCCACACCGGCCTGCTTGGCCTCTCAGTCCACTTACACAGGCAGGATCTTTCCTTCCAGTTCTAGGTTGGAAGGGGCGTGGCTGGATGGGGAATTGGCCAGTAGAGTGGCTTTTTAAAGTAAATAAAAATAACTCAGGGGCTTCACTGGTGGCGCAGTGGTTGAGAGTCCGCCTGCCGATGCAGGGGACACGGGTTCGTGCCCCGGTCCAGGAGGATCCCACATGCCGTGGAGCGGCTGGGCCCGTGAGCCATGGCCGCTGAGCCTGTGCGTCCGGAGCCTGTGCTCCGCAGCGGCAGAGGCCACGGCAGTGAGAGGCCCGCGTACCGCAAAAAAACAAAAAACAAACTCAGTTCCTCAGTCACACCAGCCACATTTGAAGTACTGAATAGTCACATGTGCTAGTGGCTACCCTGTTGGACAGCACAGATACAGAACATTCCACCATCAAAGAAAGTTCTATTGGCCCTTGGTGTTCCCTTTACCGCTTAGGAACCTGTCTCCCGGGAAGTAGGGAAACACCCCTACACGGGGGTGGAGCTTGTAACGGAGAGCAGGACAGTGGGGTAATCAGATGCGCCAGTACCTTGCCGGCCCCCACCCCCACCCGGCAGAGGCCGTGTCCACAGCCTCCTCCCTGCTGTAATGCACTCCCTCCCTTACAAAGAGATGCCTTGGCCCAGAGGGTGACAAGATCTCCCGAGTGGCACAGGGAGGAGGTGAGGAGGAAGGAGGAAGAGGCAGCCATGTGGCAGTTGGCAGGTTTTTTCCACCAAGGTTTGCATCAGTAACAAGGTAATGCTACCCATAGCCATACTACTGAGAGATGACCACTCAAACATGGCTCTCCTGGCTCTTTTCCCTTCCAATAATTTTTTATAAGGAAAAAGAGGCACGTGTATATACTGTGTGGTTCTGTTGCCTGCTATTTCCCTTAACATTATTTAATGGACATTTGCTGTCATTACACACTATTCTTATTATAAAGATCTTTTTGAAGAACAAGCCAGAATAACTAGAAAAAATCTGAAAATGAACAGTTCGATTTGGGGGTGGGGAAAACTAACCCATGAATACACAGACAGAGCAATGAAAAAAATTTTAAAATCCAGTAACAGACCCAACTGCATAAGGAAATTGGGGCGGCGGGGGGGCGGGGACCTCTCAGCAAGTGGTGCTGGAGTCACTGGAAGAAGGAAACCATCTAAGAACTAGAAGAAAATGGAAAATGAGGAAATTCTTGTAAAGCTGGAAGTGAGAAAACCTTTCCTGATTTCAGAATCCACATATAGTTAGGGGAAAGATTGATAAAGTTGACTACATAAAAAATTAAAATAAAAAAACCCTCTTACATAGAAAAAGAAAGCCACCGTTAGCAAGGTAAAAACACAAATTACAAACTAGGAAAATACAATATGTAAGTTGTATTACAATGGTTAATATTCCAATATATAGCTTCTAAAAATAAAGACACACAAAGAAATGCAAATGGCCTTTTAAGCATGTCAAAAGATGCTCAACCTTGCTCATAAATACGATGAAATAAAAATACGCCTGAAATACCATTTCTTGTTTAGCAGATGGGCACAAATCTCAAAATTTGGCCACAATCTGCTGATGAGGCTGTGGGAATGCAAGGAGTACACCCTCTGTGGAGGTGAATATCTAGCAAAGTTACATATGCATGATCCCTCTGACCCAGCCATCCCACCTATAGGATTCTAGCCCAAAGATTCTTCGGCAAAAAATGAAGAGAACGATTCCAACCCTACCAACAGGCAGCCTGAGCAGCCAGGGCTGGTCTGGGGGGCTTAGAGCCACATCACCCCCTGTGGAGTGGCCAGCTGTGTCCAGAAGATGGGCCCAGGAACAAGTGGTTTGCACACACATGATTTTGCATGAAATATCAAGGAGATTATAGAGAATTTGAAGCCCATCCAGGTATGAAAAACAACAACAACAAAAAAACCTTTGCATTCAGAAGTCTTTCAGGTGGTCCAGTGGTTAAGAATCTTTCTTGCAATGCAGGGGATGCCGGTTCAATCCCTGGTCGGGGAACTAAGATCCCACATGCCAAGGGGCAACTAAGCCCACACGCCAGAACTATAGAAGCCCGAGCACCACAACTAAGACCCGATGCAGCTGAAAAAAACAAATAAAAATAAATAAATAAGTCTTTTAGAAAGTTTCTATATATTGAGCATGCCATCCTGGGAATTGTGCTAAGCACTTCATACATATTATCTCATTTAATCCTCACAACTCTCAGTAGAAGGAGTAAGCTGAGGCCCAGTTCCATGAAGAGCTCATCTGACTGACTCCAAGGCCACCAACTTAACCCCTGAGACTCTCTGAAGGTAGTAGAGGCTGGCAAAGATCAGGCGCAGGTCCCCTCTACAGGGGTGGCCTGGATGTTGTCACCACAGAGCCGCTAAGGATCCCTCCTTTGAACGGGAGCCTAGTGCAGGGAACAGGGTACTGCCAGCACTGATCTGGTGGGAAACCACCCAACTCCACGACCTACTAGAACCTTTCCACCTGGGCCCAAGTCCATCATGAGACCCAGATCTAAAGGCACAAACAATTCTATGGAATAACAACTCATGACCAAGCTACAGCACAGC